ATTAATTTCCCTTGAGGTTTCTGGTAGTGCCTGCATCCAGAAAAGCCATAAAAATGTTTTTTCACATGGTAATTCCATGTTTAATCGCAGAGAGACATAGACTGCCTCCATCATATAGAATCTGTGAGGCGATACATAACAGCATTCAAGGAAAGTAAAGTTATTAAGAACAAGAGCAGTGGCAAGTTTCTTATATTTTGGAAGAAGGATGAGAGGTGCTGTTGTCATGCTTAGACTGCCAGGGTCCCATTCCCTACTTACACGTGACCTTGCAATATTGCATAATCCACACTTTGCCTCACTATTAATCTATGAAATGGAGATTCTACTTCAAGGGATAAAAACAGTCCACAATCATGAGATGCCATCATGATGCTATGGAGGTGGGAGCATGTATGCATTCTCATACAGCTGGTGTTAATATCTGAAACATTTGCCATAAAAAGACCTGTGTTGAAAAGTAAATTGAGAAATTTAAGCAAGAAAAATCCCTTTATGGCTACTAAAGCCTCCTGATGGCTTCTCAGGGCCATCCCTATAATCATACATCACAGAGGTGGAGAGGGGGAGAGTATTTCGGAAGTATGTGCTTGCCTTGTTCCTAAAGTCTTGTCTAAGCATCTGCTACTGGCCATTGCCAGAGGCAGGATATGGCTTGAGCTGGACCTTTATTCTGACCTGGTATGGCTGTTCTTAAGACCAAAGGTGAGGACAGTTCTTGCACTGCATCTAAAAATAAATGAATCAGGTGCCCAAAAAAACCCCAAATCTGAAATGAGAAAGTACTACTCGGACAAAAATGAACCTGAACATTGCAGCATAACTAATTCAGATTGGGCTTATTTCAAGAAATCAGCAGAAGTGTAAGCCCACACAGGGTCCAATCTTTCATTCCTTTCACCCCACCTACTCTACTTCCTCCTGTCCCACATGTCCACCCCAAACCCAACTTCCTATCAGTTGTTCTACATTGCTTTGGATGGTGAAACTTAATAGGAGCAAATTACGTTGTTACATCCCCTTCTCTCCTTGTGCTCTCCCCATTCATTTCTTCACTAAGATAGCACATGTTCATATTTTAAGACACATCATTAGCCCCAAGGAACTGTTCTCAGACTGTTCTCATAGCTTGTCACAAGCTTGCAGGCCTAATTCTGGCATTCTCTTGCACTTCTCTAACTGCGTTGCTTCCTGGCTGCCTCCAGCAGCGTGCAAACGCATGCTGAATCAGACCGCCCCTCCCGGCAGCTCTCATTGCTCGGTTATCAGCGGAGTTGTAGGAGTGGCTGCTCAAGCAGGCTAAACACACAGGCTGGAAAGGAGAGGAGGGTGAAAAGCAATCACATTTTTTCTTTAAAGCGTAGTTGAGATATTGCAGTCTCACCTTGACTGAACCTGCATTGGAAGCACTTTCTGTCTCACCAGGTCAGAGATCTTTGGCTCTCTGCAGGCTAGAAAAAATACAATGTTGCACAGTACTTTTCCACATTCACAGCTCAAATGTTACGGTTCATACACATTTCCACTCTTTCCTCTCACTAGCTAAAGCAGACTGGATTAAGAAAAGAGGCAGTAAATTACGTGCATTAAAATAAAGATAGGTCCTAAAACATAAAGCCTTAGAAAAATACTTCCCCACAGATTGCTAGATCTATCCCACTGACAACAGTGGAAGCAACTGAGTGTCTTCTGCACTGGTACTTTCAGCCATGAAGGAAGATTTGTCCATCAGTATGGCTGAATGCCAGATTTACGCCACTACAGCTGATGGTCTGGAATCAGAGCAAAGTTTTGCAATAATGGAATTATATAAAAAATACTTAATTTCCATCTGTGTAGCCACACACAGCTAATCCCAGTGACTCGGCATACAGAGAAAGGCTGCACGATGTTACAGATTTCTAAGATTCTGTTTGCTTGTGCACCCATTGGAAGGGAGCTGGAGACTCTGATTCAAAGGAACACCTCAGAGTTATCTGAATATGCACAAAATAACAGAAGGGAGATCCAGGATTTCTAATTTTGCATATTTGGTTTATTTACTTTAAGAGCAGGATAAAATATTCAGGTTTATCAGTTCCAGTAACTCTGCCAGGATCTCCTTCTTGCTGCGCACAGTGGAAGAAAAGGAATCTTGCAGGATGTATTTTATCTGTATGCCTGACCACTTTTATTCTGTGGGATCTAACAATAGCCAGCTCTTTCTGATTACTGTATATGTTAACCTTTATGTCACTATCAAAGTTAACATCAATAAAGATGCTTTCCACAAATGATTATACACTTCAGGGAGAGAGTATTTCCATCTAAAATAACAGAATAAAGCAAATTACCCAAGGGACAGACATATTTTCTTATATTATCATTAGTTCAGTTAAAAAAAATCCATTAAAATATGTGTCAAACAACTGCTTTAGGAAAATTAATTTGGCAGTTCCCCAGACCAAATTCATTTATCCATTCAGGGTTTCAGACATGCTTAGAGTAGCTCCAGGTCAACAGCATAATTCCCTTTCTAGCAAAGCATTTAAAGATGTGTTTCAGTGTTTTGATGAAACATTTCAAGCATGTCCTCAACTGGTTTTCTGAACCAAACCTTCAAGGCTGCAATCTACAGGCTTGGCCTTTTACACTCATGACTGGTACCATTGACTTAAAAGGATTGTGGGAGGAGAGCTGGGCCCTGTGACAGCAACTCTGATGAGACTATCATCAAAATCAATTTAATCATTCAAATCTGAATGATTATTTCCTTCTATTTCAGTTCCCTTATGATTGTCTTTGGTTTTGATCTTACGTAGGTTTGATCCTAGACTGAGAGTAATAAGGGTCTTAGGGAACACTCCTTTCCATGTTTAAAGATGGAAACATCTTCTGGAATTGCTGGCATCTTCTCTGGCTGAGTTTAGCAGTCAGTAGAGCTGGCAAACTACCAATCTATCAGTATCAGGTGTCAGTCAGATGGTTTATTCTTAGGGAAAATGATTGTTTGGTGAGTATAAATTATATAAAACAAACTCCAGTAAAACCATAGCAGCTTTTGTGAGTTGTGGTAAAAAAGATTCTAAACTACCTTTTATGCAGATTGGCTGCTTCCCTGACCATTCTCCATCATCTTGGCAGGTCCTCTGTTCATTCCCACTAAGAACATATGAGTTGTTACAAAAGAAAGCAATGACTGTGCCAATTTTTGCATAGCGTCCATTCAAAAGCCCAGTGTCTTCTACTACTCTTCTGTAGCCATTGAGTGGGCCACCAGGATCTGAGCAGTTTTTTTCATCTAGAACTAACAATAGGGGAAAAAAATAGTAACCATTTTATCAAGTTCACAGCATTATTTTCACCCATCAGACTGCTTGGCATTTCATTCAGATGTTACTACACAATATACACTTTATTAAAGATACCTTTTCAAGACTCATCTGGGATATCTTTTTTCAAAAAGCTCAAAAATTAAAGAAGAAATTATAATATACAGATGTCTTTATAATACACACTTTACTCTTCACTGAAAGTGTAAGATTCTCAAATTGTTAAAAAGACCTTAAAACATAGCGGACAATCCTGAAAAAGAACTTTGACTTTACATGATGTTAATGTCCCATTAACCTTAACAGGGCTACTTCAAGAGCATAAAAGGATGCACTGAAACTATTTGCAGAAAACAGGCCCTTGGTGTTCTTTTCCCTTTTCTGTACTTTCAATACTTCACTGGACTTGGATAATAAAACTAGACTACTTAAATTTAGATTTTATGTTTGGTTGCATTTTGGTTTCTTAGCACTGAGAGAGACCTCAATAATCCAGGGAAATATGGGAATTGAAAGAGAACATATAGTTATATATATTTACTGATACTGATACAAAAATTTCACGTGGAAATCTTACTCATGCTAGGTTCTGCTTATAAAACCTTTTACTTCATCCGTCCCAATATTTTCTCCTTCTTTTTACTTGTTGTTGTCGTTTTTTCTGTCAATAAATTTTTGGCCTAAGCCTGGATGACAGTATTCCCTATGTGATGCTTATAAATGCTTTTCCCTATGTTTTTCACTCCTCTGTTCTTTCTAGGTAGCAGCTGGAAAGGTACTTTTTTTCCCTTTGGATTTCATCTCAGTTTTCTTATCAGACTGACAGTAACATGCAAGTCTGTTTAATTCCTCTGTCTGATGTCTCATTGCATGATAACCAGTGAACATCTAGTTTAGACAGCTAATGTTGATTATCCTCTGATTATGGAGGGCTGAGAAGACTGAGACATACCAACTGACCAGAAACGACCTCTTCATGTTACTGCTTCAGACTTGGCTGTGGGCTGAGCCTCAATTCACAAAAGCACCAATACATAACAAAGCACTCAAACATTTATTTAAAACCCTGTGAAATCAGCACAGTAACAGTGCATAGGTATGGCCCTGTCCTGTTCACATATCCTCATGTCACCAGGCAGAGCCCAGCTCAACAACACATGTAAGCACATAGCTAAGCGTAACAGTACAAGTTCAATGAAGAACATATGCTCTTGTCATTGAGTATATAATTCAAGATAAGCATATATTTCAGTGCTTTCTTTAACAACATTGGATTTTAGCATATACTAAAGGTTATATATGTACTTAAATACTTTTCCACATGAGTCATATTCACTAAACAAAGAGGACGTCTGAACTTCCTCTCAACCAGGAGAAGGGAGAAGCAGAGCCCTGTCTCTCTTTAATTTGGCTCCATTTTTCTTCTCTGTGTCTCACAGGCTCTCTCACTTGTGAACCACAAGTGACTGTTAACTTGACAGCAGCTAAAGACTACAGGGAATCATCCGCAGTATAATGCTTTATTTGCAAGTTGCTTTCTACACTGATCTACATCTGATGAACGGAGTCATCCAGTAAGTCAATGAAGGCCGCCTCTTATTTCATCCTATGCCTATCAGTAACTTGAACAGTAATTCTCTTTTTCCCTAAGCACACGGTTATGACTCCTTTTGATGGATTAAAAACAAAGAGAAAACATCTGGGAAGAAGAGACCCAAATTACAGCACCTAGCACTTCAGTGACAGCCAAGTCGAGAGACAAGTCCTTCAATAGATCTTTAGCCAGGGACATTATGCAGCAGACACTTTAGCACAATCCTGGTATTAGATTTACTGCAACTGGAGACATTCTCTTTAGATATAAAAATGCCTATTGCTTGCTCTTTCAGATGAACTTACATACAGTTGTTTCACAACACTGCCCTCAAATTTACATTGTTTGCCACACAACATTTGTAATAGCACTTTTCCAATTGATACAAATTATTCTGGAATATGAAAATAAAATTGTGCAATACAAAACAACTAAAGAAAAATTAAAAGTCTGTTTGGATGAGAAGAAGGGTCTTGGAATTTCACAGCTGAATCAGTGTGAATGGTAGGCATGTCACCTTGCACAGCCAGAATGAATGGAAATTTCTCTTCTGTCAGTTTTTCTCTAGGATGGGAATTCTGTTGAAATAAGAGTCTAGTATTCATGCAGTAAGCCCCTAATCACCTCCATAGAGTGCACCAGACTTCTGCAGAGAAAGTATCAGGTATATAGTAATGGAAGTAGCTATTCATTGTTGCACAATATGTCCCTCATTTTGCTTTCAGTCCTAGACATTTTCAGTCTGTGTGTAAGAAGGATGTATGCCTAAAGTCTTTGAGGAAATTATTTTTCAGTCATTTGACGTTTCAGTCAGACCTTTATTTAAGCAAGTCTTGCAGGCTTGGGCTCCAGCAGAGTAAAATAACAATCCCTACTGCTTCTTAAAGACAGGAAGACAAAAGAACATCATGTTAAGCCATGGATCTACCAAATTTCAAGTGAGACTTGGATATTCTAGTTTCATGTGAATACATTGGCCGAAATTTTTGATAAGAATCAAAACTTAAAGTGACCTTACCACATTCAGGATGATGTGTTGACCAAATCCCATCAAGCTGACAGTAGGCAATACGGCTGCCTTTTAAGCTGTAACCTGCGTTGCACTTGAAGTAAACCTGGGCCCCGTATTTAAAGTCATCTCCTTCCACAATACCATGAGCGGGAGCACCTGGAGTCCTACACATCACCACTGACAGTTCAGATATTTCAAAAAAATCCACTTTATTACAAAAACAGGACTGTGTTAGGATGATTCTTTATTTAGAACATTGAAAAACCAATTAAAATGGGCACAGGAGTCAAAATTACATGACAGGTATATGCCTATTTTTAGAAAGTTCTACACACACTTACATATAAGCCACTTCTCAAAACATATCTGGATCCATTCAGTTTAATGGGATTACTCAGAAGTGTGAAGTGATCATGTGCATAAGTGTTTGTGTCATTAGGGCTCATTTGCTCAAAATACTGGTACTTGAAGGACTTTCCATCTTAAGAGGGGTTTTGAATGAACTACCATGCTTGGTCAAGAAAAAAATTAGATCCTTAAAAGCCTTATATTGAATTTTTTTCAAATTTTTCTTTCCATTTTTATATAGGTTTTCAGATAACCTCACTGAAATACTAAAACATCATTATTTGTGTAGATCAAACAATATCATAATGACATTAAAAAGGAACCTTGATATTTACCAAACTGTGATATTTACCCTTTCCACAGGGTTTGCTCTACTGTGAAAATACTTACAAACAATGGTTTATTTAACTACTGCAAGTAGTAAACATTAGATTAAACATTGTAAGCAAAATTTCTCTGAGAGTATCAAACCAGCCATACTAAACCAGAACAAAGGTCCATCCGGCACAGAAATCTGTCTTCAACAGTGGTAATCAGTAAATTTGATGGAAGGAATATAAAAACAGAGCAAGTCTATAGAATACTTTCCCAGCATATTCTGGCAACATTCAGCAATCTGGGCCTCAAGGACTACCTGAACTACAATGATATTTTTGGTATAACATACCCTGGTGACTTATTTCTTTTTAACATTAATTTGTCTGAGTATTTTCTAAACCCAACTACATACTCGGTGTTCACCATATCCTGTGGCAATGAGTTCTACAGACTAAGAGTTGTGTGAAAAATACACTGCCTTATTTGGTTTGGTTTCTAGCCTGCCACCTGATAATTCCATTTGATGCTCTGCTTTCTCCGTTATGAGAGACAGAGAACATCCATGCCCTATTCACCTTCTCCAACTCACATTTTAAGACCAGTCTTCTGTCTGTAGAAATTACAACAATGTAGGAAACACAGGTTTTAGTATCTACACAGTTATCCATCTGTCTGTGTCTGACTTTGCGTGGCCATTCATTGTGGAAAACTGTATAGGAAAGGATTCAGTGCAAGATTTAGATATGCTTATGGGTTTTTTACCTGGGAGCTGTGGTACTAAGATAAATAGATGAATGCTAAAGAGATCACCTGTACGCTTTTAGTATTTAACTTTTTCTGTTTTGCCTCATAGCTAGTTGCTTACTAACTACAGGCAAATTTTGATCCTTACACTTCCAGAGAAAAAACTTTTCTAAGGCCTTAGCCCTGTAATCCTTGCACAGAACACACATGAATGCGTCTATTTATATGGATTGTGAACCATCCAATTTTTCACATAAGGAAGAGATTCTTGAGAAGCAGTCCTAAAGCAGCAGCATTCACAAAAACAAGGCTCTGCAGAAATTAATCTCATTTTATGGATTACTACAAACATGCAACAATGAGTCGGTAGAATTATTTGTGCACTAGTAAGCACAAGTCTTGGAAAGAAAAACTGTCTAACATTTAAGCATTAGAGAAGGGCCCAGACTCACTGCTCCAAATCAAAACACATCCAGTTAGGGGACCTCAACATTTCCTCTTGGCTGCAAGTGTTCTGCATCAGTGTCATCTTTAGCAAAAGAATAATGACAAAAATTGAAGAAAATTAATTCCTAGCCCTTAACATTTCTCATGTGAAATACAGACACACATACATATACATGCATATATAGGTGCATATGTGTATACACAAGCACATACATAAGTGAAAGGGAAATAATGGGAGCATAGACTTTCTATGTGTTTTAAATTCTCAGAACACTTTTCTTCCCAGTCATGATCTTTGTATTCCCAGTCACTCTCTCCGTATCTTTCTCTGAACAGCAATTCATTTCACTATATTTCTCTCTTTCAATGTAAAGTCACACTCAGCTTGCCAAATGAGTAAAGATGATGATTAGAAACATCTGTGCACCACTCAGTTCTCCTTTTCATCATAAATACATGTTTTCTGTTTTTCCTGTGGTCCAGTTCAGCTCTGCAGAACAAATGTTTTGGTGCTTTTGTGTTCTATGTCCATCCTGGAAAAAATGTCACCAAGCTACACTTACTTTTTTTTCCACAAACTGTAAGTATCTCTTCTTGTTTGGTCTCCTAAGTGAATAAGATATTTAGATATTTCTAGTCCTTTTGATTTTCTGTGGTTGCCAGACTTTTTTTAGATTCTCTGTGCCAGTGTGAACCAGCTGGAACAACTCTGGGTTTTTTTCTGATGTAAATTCAGTGTTTTGTGCACAGATTCATTTAGTATGGGAACTATGGCCTAGAGTAGAGGATATGGAGGCAGAAGGTAGTGAGATCTAACAATAGCTATAGAAGTGTGGCCATGGGTAAGTTGCTTCATCTGCTGTATCTAACAAATGAGAGCACCCTTTTCCTCACAGGGATGTTATAAGCATTAGCTCATACCCACTTGTTTCACAGAGTCACGTGGAGTTTCTCTGATGGCAAAACAGCTAAGTATTATTAACAGACATGTCCCTTTTATTCCCCATGCTTTTATCTACTGGTTGTCTCTTCTCTTGTAATGTCCTGTTCTTTAAAATTTGCCACTGGAGCACAGCCATTCACTTTATTTTTCCTTTGGATCATTTTGTAAGCTCATTCTTTCTCTCTACAAATTAAATGTAGTTTTGAATCTTGAGATGTTCCCTGCATCTCAGTACCACAGCTGAGCTCTCTGTTTTCAGCTATATTATCTATCCTGAAAGTCACATACAGTTACTCTAGTACCTGCCTCTACTGCTTTGGTTTGAGCTGTACAGCTTTTTTAACTCTTCAGTTTGACTTTAAACCCTTTTACCTAGTATGTTTCAGGCAGCTCTTCTGCACCTTTTCCCTTTACTTGTGAACACTTCAGGCAACGGAGTTTTGAACAGTTTTTGTGAAGGGAATCCTAGCCCCTGTGTGCTTCATCCAATTTCTTCTCTTTTTGTGGATAGCTTCCCATCAAGAGTGTGAATTTGACTGCTTCTTACATCTTTCATAATGTGCAGTATATTCCACTGAATTTTAGGACAGCCTACTTTATTTGAGATATTTTATTGAAGTCTTTCAACATTCTCTCTTGGTGTATGACTATATCCAACTCTCCAACAGACATTTCTCAGAAGTCAAAAAGAAACGAAAAGAACATTTTGTAAATGTCATTCATACCTAGCTCTGCCCCTATCTTCTGGGTACACACATTAGCCATAAAATCCAACCACCAACCCAATTTTCTTCAGTTTCTAAGCTCTCTTAAGACATTTGATATGATTTCATATTCCCTTGCCTAGGCAGGATGGGCCTGATCCTGCCATCTACTGAGTATTTCTGAATATCAGTCCTCCTTCTTTCTGTGGTCCAGCTTTCACAGTCATGAGGTCACAGCCCTCGCCCACCCACGGCCATCCCCATTCCACCTTGTACCCACCCCCTGCTGTACCTCTGCTGGTCTAGCCTGACTGCTACAGCAGAGACAGGGCTGTGAGCCATTTGCACAGAACTTCCTTGGGAAAGCAGGTGGTGGGCTGGCCAGGGGCCAAGCTCACCAAGCTCAAGCCCAAGCTCTCCAAGCTCAAGCCCAGACTCCATGGGCTTGAACCGTTCCTAGGCCACTAGGTAGAATGCTCTGCTCCACATGAAATAAATGATTCCTACTGCCCTGTGACTCTGGCTTCCTACCTTTAAGGTGTCTAAGGACAAGCGTCATTTGTGCTGTGTTTGGCTAATAGCATTACTTCCCCATAGCAAAATGAGAGAGGAAGGAGTAGGAAAATCTGTCTTGATAACCCATGGGAGGACTTTCTCACTGACACAGCAGTGGTTAAAGAAAGAACTGTCATCCATAGGTCTTATCCTACCTAAAGGCCTTTTCAACATTTCCCTAGTGTTAGTGCAATGCCCTCTGAATAGCAGTCACTGCCCAGCTTTTCACAAGATTAATACCTTACCTTACCTTTTCTCTCAGTGCACTTTGCAAAGCAGACAAAGGAAGAAGCAAAAGACAAAGGTAGAGAGCTTCAGGCAGAATTATCTATGAAATGTACCATGAAGTCAGCAATACTCACCTGAAACTAAGATTTGAGACAATCCTGCCAAAATGGAACTAAGAGTGTCAGGATCTCAGGTGCTAGGTCTCTGCACCTTTCTCTCCACAAAGAGAAGACCAAAGCCACCAGGAACCCAGAAAATGGACTAGGTGGCTGCAAAATTCTACTATGAGGTGGTAATGCACAGCCAAATATGAAAGACATTCACTCAAGGTCTGCCAAAAGAAGTCTGAGCAACCCAGAGACCCCATGAGGGTCAGGCTGATCCCATTTTTCATGCCATAGTGTCATCACATCTATAAAGATTCTGGTGAATTTATATCTAGAAAGCAATAGGAAAACTGGAGAGATTTCATGGAAAGGTGCAACTAGTGTTAGGGAAATATAATCTTGAGAGTGACTAAGAGCTGAGAATGACCACCCAGGTCATACAAAAGCTAAAAACTACAATAATCTGAAATCTAAAAGCAGAAAGGATACAGTAAAATATTTGAAGAAAGATGAAGAGGTATATTCAGGTAGGATAAAATGAAGAACAGGAGAGTTCTTACTCAAGAAAAACTTTATAAAAGTCTCCTTGACAAATGTTTGAAAGGCATAATAGAATGTAAGTAGAAATTATATGAGCCTCATCATTTGAAAATTGAAACTCCAGCTAAAAAAAAACTGGAGCAGACTTTGGAGAGAACAGGGCGGCACTAGCAAGCCCATTATGAGCTGAGAGATTTTTTTCATTTTAGTTTTTCTGTATTTTGCTACACAATGTTGCTCCTGGGAAGTTAATCTAGTTACAGGCATATAGGT